CCCTGTAAAGTGGGAAAAAACAAAAGGAGTCTTCCAACAATCGGTTCTCCGAACTGCTTAGAAAGTTACCAACCGGTTCTCCCGAATAGGTGCGAACCGGCTGAATCCCACCACTGGGATGGGGGATTGAAATCCCCCTCCTCTTTCTTTCTCTTTTTCTCTGAGGGAATGACTCCCTTTAATATTTTTATTTTATTTTTACTGTATATAGTTAGAGAGAATGTGCCGGGCTGGAGAAGCTTGCGCGGCACAGTTGACAGTTCCAGGAGGGATTCCTTCCCATTTATCATGCCTCTTCCTTGGGGGCTTTGTTATGAAATTGTGGCTGAAATTGATCATTCGAGAGCGCTCCGTTTCAGGTTCCTTTTCTTCTTTATTAGCTGATCGGAAAGTTGCCTCTAATTTCAGCATGACTTCTCACTCAGGAATTATGCAAACGAGTGGTGGGTTTCAAAAATTGTTCGAACCTACTCTGTGGATGTGGCCTCCTTTGTGGGAGTGGCTTGCTGCCCATGTGACTGGATGGGAGTGGCTTGCCGCCCATGTGACCGGATATGAAGATGCCAACGACACTTGTCAGAACCACCTTAAATTACCTCACACACAGCACTGGCATGCATAAGAATATGACTTGTTTTTTTTAAAGGCATCTTTGGTTTGCGTTAAAACAACTTCAACGCACACAATGTTCTGATTGCACCACAAACGCAGTAGTCATCCTTACTTTTCACAGAGGCCCTGAGTTTTATAAATATGAGCATGATAGTGTAGAATAATCATATCCAAGGACCAGTGGTGGGTTTCAAAAAATTTTGGAACCTCTTCTGTAGGTGTGGCCTGCTTTCCGGGTCCACTGGTGGAACCTCTTCTAACCAGTTCGGTAGATTTGACGAACCGGTTCTACCGAATAGGTGCAAACTGGTAGGAACCCACCTCTGATTCAAACTTTTTGTCACATTCTTCAGAACGCAGGAAGCCTGATCCTGACGTTGGAAACAAATTCCGGATTTCTGGATGTGCTTGGAAGGACTTTATTATTAGCCAATCTCTTCCTTTCAAAAGCGCCACAAATCTCCACCTTCCCACTGCCTTGCCATGCATCTGCAGTGTTCAGCCAAGGGGCTCCAGCGGGGAACTTCTGGGAGGCAGCACTGAATCGCTCCTCTGCTTTCTTTGGTCCCATCCACTGCACCCATCCCCCAAGACCAGAAGAGAAGCCCCCTCACTCCAGACCCAAATAGAAGTGGCAGGGACACTGGCTGATGCTCCTATCCTGCTCAGTGTTGCTGGTGCTGCCATCACCACTTTCCAGTCACCTGCAAGGTGCTGATACACCTTTTCAGCAAGTCAAAGCGCAGTGGGTTGTGTCACTCCACTTTTTGCCAAGGGAAATAAACGCACCCCGCCACAACCTCTCCAGTTTCCACTTCAGGAAGCTGAGCCTGTAGGACTGCATCCAATTGAAAGGCAGATTCCTGCCCTTCCATGCATGTATTGGCTGCTGGGACATGTGGCTGCATGTCCCATGCTGAGAATTGGCTGAAGACAAGGTTGCCTCTACCTGGGATGAGGGTGTGGGGGAGGAGTGCTGGAGGGCCAGCTGAGCATGAATGCCCATGGTGGGTTGGCTGCAGTGGGGGTGGGGGGTTTGGAGGTGAAGCAGACATGGTCATGTGGCCATGGCTAATTGTCCTAGAACCAGCAGTTGGACTAGAAGACCTCCGAGATCACTTCCATGACTCTGTCTTGCAGGCTTTTTATCACAGGTGCAAATGAATGAAAAGAACAGCTTTTAAATTTGCTTCAATGTTTTCAAAAGAAACAGTCTGCTTCCAACACAAGGAAAGACCATCCACGACCAAAAATAAATCATGGAAATGTGTGTTTGTATGGGATTTCTAAGGTCTGGGAGCTTGAGACATTTTGTGTTAGCATTTCTGAAAGTGTGGGTGTGATCTGAGCAACGACCATTTTTATAGCTCTTATGGAAATTTATTTGCAGAAAATACATGTTGTGAGCACCTAACTAGTTACATCCTATCCGGAGGAGAGTGCAAGTGTCCATACTCTGTGCATGTGTGCTTGTGAACAAAAGCAGAGGGAAATGACCCAGATTAACAATATTTGAGATTTGAGATTTTATTAATATTTGTAGGCCGCCCTTTTCCCTGAGGGGACTCAGGGCGGCTCACATAAAATCAGGGAGGGGGAATACAGACATTGACATAGAGACATATAATAAAATAGTAAGCAACATACATTCATCATTCGGGAGGGGCAGCTATCCTTGTCCCCAGGCCTGACGGGCTAGCCAGTTCTTAAGGGCTGTGCGGAAGGCCTGGACGGTGGTGAGGGTACGAATCTCCACGGGGAGCTCGTTCCAAAGGGTCGGGGCTACTACTGAGAAGGCCCTCCTCCTTGTAGTTGCCAACCGGCATTGGCTGGCCGATGGAATACGGAGGAGGCCTAATCTATGTGATCTTATTGGTCGCAGGGAGGTAATTGGCAGAAGGCGGTCTCTCAAGTATCCAGATCCACTACCATGTAGGGCTTTATGGGTGACTAGTAACACCTTGAAGCGCATCCGGAGATCGACAGGTAGCCAGCGCAGCTCGCGGAGGATAGGTGTTATGTGGGTGAACCGAGGTGCACCCACGATCACTCGCGCGGCCGCGTTCTGTACTAGCTGAAGTCGCCGGATGCTCTTCAAGGGCAGCCCCATGTAGAGCACAAAATATGTAGACTAAGAGTAGGCAGGGTGATGACAAAGGGGGACAAAGTTAAATCCTTATTTGGTATCTTTGTCCTACTTAACCATGTGGTCAGAGGCTCATGTGGTCTTAAAGAATCACCTTCATGAAATGTGGAATGTCTAACACAATGTTTCTCAGCTTTAGCAACTTTAAGACGTGTCAATTTCAACTCCCAGAATTCTCTAGCTACCACACTAGCTACGGAATTCTGGGAGTTGAAGTCCAGAGATCTTAAAGTTGCTGAGCTTGAGAAATCCTGGTGTAACATACATATAATATATGCTCACTCTATACCTGCTCACCGTATTCTTTAAGGTTAGCAACCCAATTTCTATACACCAGGAAGTTGTTATGGATTTTTGTGTAAGTCTTCAGGTGTTGAAAAGTGCATCTATGTAAAAAGATGTTGAGACTCTAGAGACTCTAGAAACAGTTCAGAGAAGAGCAACAAAGATGATTGGGAGGCTAAAACATATCAAGAACGGTTGCTGGAACTGGATATGTCTAGTCTTATGAAAAGAAGGACTAGGGGTGACATGATATCAATGTTCCGATATCTAAGGGTTTGCAACAAAAAAGAGGCAGTCAAGCTATTCCCCAAAGCACCTGAGGGCAGGACAAGCAGCAATGGATGGAAATTAATCAAGGGGAGAAGCAACTTAGAACTAAGGAGAAATTTCCTGAGTGTTAGAACAATTAAGAAGTGGAACAACTTGTCTCCAGAAGTTGTGAATGTTCCAACACTGGAAGTTTTAAAGAAGAGATTGGATAACCATTTGTCTGAAGTGGTGAAGGGTTTCCTGCCTAGGCAGGGGGCTGGACTAGAAGACCTCCAAAGTCCCTTCCAATCCTGTTATTCTAGTCTATCCTATAAAAAAGAGTAGCTTAGTGTTAACGCTATATGTAGAGATGAAAAATCTGGTGGCAACCTCTGATTAATCACACATTTTAAAACATACATTTTTGAGAAAGTCTAATTTAAATGGTTTCCCCTTAGAACTGACTGAGAGGAGTGTTTAATTTTTTAAAAAGATGAGACATTATTGTTCATCTCTATTTCTTAATTACTTATTTCAGAAAAGACTGTTATTTTGTTGAGAACATTTGAATCAAGGAAAAATGACCTTCTTTTGCTTACAGAATTTAATCACAATATATCCATCCACCCCCCTGCCGCTTTCTAATAATTCAATTTTTGGCCCTTTTAAAAAATATATGTTTGTTTTATTTCTTTGCGGTTTGCTTAGTTTGTGCAGTTAGTCAGAAGTAATTTTTCCTGTCTTCAGTAGCTAAGTGTCTGTACATTTGTGCTTTAAAGTATATAACCATAAATCTTAATATATAGGATTCATTAAGCATTACACTATTCATTATAATTTCTTTATGCCTGTGTTAACTTCTGGATTATTTCCTGCAGTTTTCTTGGCAACATTTAAGGAAGTGGCTTGCTGTTGCCTTCTTCTCGGGCTGAGAAGAATGACTAGCCCAGGTTTACTCCGCTGCCTTCATGCCCAGACAAGAGTAGCATTCATAATCATCTGGTTTCTAATCTAATATCCTAAACACTATACCAGGGGTGTTAAACTCGAGGCCTGTGGCCCGGATGCACCCCATGGGATGCTTAGAACTGGCCCATGGGGCCACCCTGAAAACAGTGAAGGACTGATCTATGGTGCCTCTGCCAGCAAAAAAGAAGCTGGGGTGGGCTCTGTTTTCCCTGACAGAGGGCTGCAGTCATGGCCAAAAACAGAGCTTGAGATCCTGTGTTCGTTGGCAGAGCACTCAAGTCATAGGCGCCCTCCCCTGACATGATCGAGGACAAGCTGGCCACGCCCCACCTGGCCATGACCCCCGCCTCCCCTGAGGTCAAAGACAACCTGGATGCGGCCCTCAATGAAATTGAGTTTGACACCCCTGCGCTATACCGAGTTGGTGCTTTTTCTTTCAATTACATGGATAAATATCTGAACTATATATTCAATTCTCTTCAAATATTTGAGCATTGCTGGCTGGGGAATTCTGGGAGTTGACGTCAATGCATCTGAAAGCTGCCAAGGTTGAGAAACATTGGACTACACAGCTTTGCAGTTAACAAGAGTGGAATCCATCCCGAACCAGTTCAGAAGTGGGAGACTTTCCATCAAACTTTAGTTGTATTCTGTGGCGCCATTTAGGATTGCAGTCTGCAAGAACATGAGCATCACTACTGTTTGTCATAGATGCACATCAAACAAGTGATGTTTATGCAATTGGGGTTTATTTCTTTTTATTTTCACAAAGGTTTTTTTTTCTCACATCAAGGGCAACAAACTATTCTATTACAGGAAACAAACTAGCATCAAGCTATATACTATATCTATTGCTCCCGTCACCATCAAGTGCTGAGTAGGCCGGATCATTGGATGTCCTTGAACAGAACAATGTTGTTCATTTTGCAGATATGGGGAAAGCTGTTGGACCTTTCCCAGGATATTCAGTTATTTCCATAATTTCTGCAACTTCCGTCATTTCAGCTTCTCTTTTGTGTTTCAGGTAGAAATGAAGTGAGAAAAAGGAAAATAATTACTAAATGAAACTTTGGAAAAGACAATGGTCTTACAGGAGAACTGTGCGGTGGTTAGCAAGATTCACAAACAATCTTCTAGAACTTTTTGAAACTAACAATTTCGATTTAACCACCCCAAAAGGATTCTTAATGCATTGCAGTGGTGGGATTCAGCCAATTCGCACCTATTCGGGAGAACTAGTTGGTAACTTTCTAAGCAGTTCGGAGAACTGGTTGTTGGAAGAAATCTCCTTTTGTTTTTTTCTACTTTACAGGGCTAATCCTGTAAGGAAGGCAGGAAGGAAACATTCTGGTGTTGTTTCTAGCCTAATCTTTATTGACCTGCTTACAGAAACTGCCTCTCTGGTTAACCCTTATTACATTGTAACAGCTAAGGTGACATGCCCATCGACCTGAGGGACCTTGAGTTGGCCATGTCCACTCAGTCACATGACCATCGAGCCCCACCTACCCAGATGGTCATTAGGGCAGAGAACCGGTTGTTAAATTATTTGAATCCCACCACTGATGCATTGCACCTGCTGATTAAATAAATTTCCCTTTATTCGTCTTCCCATAGACAGTCGTAGACTCAATTTGGAGCACATTCATGCCCCAAAGTCTCATATTGGCTCTTAGAGTGATACTTTCTAATGAAGAAGCAATAGCACTTAGACTTATATACCACTTCACAGTGCTTGCAGCCCTCTCTAAGCGGTTTACCGAGTCAGCCTCTTGCCCCCAACAATCTGGATCCTCATTTTACCCATCTTAGAAGGATGGAAGGCTGAATCAACCTTGAGCCTGGTGAGAGTTGAACTGCTAAATTGCAGTCAGCAGAAGTAGCCTGCAGTACTGCACTCTAACCATTGCACCACAGAGGCTCTAGAGTAAAGAATTTATTGTTTGGAACTTAGAAATGTTCCTTTTCTTCAACCCCCTTAAACATTCCACTTTTTTTTTTCTGTGGAGGACTTACCTATTTTCTGGAGTTCTCATCGTCCTGGGAGGAAAGCACACACATGTAAATTCTTTACTAGTTTTCCTTCCATGTAAATAATAAGCACATTGTCTTGCTGTTTGGACGAGGGTCACACAAAGGCTACCTTCACACAACTTGCTTAACTGGGTCAGTAATAATTACAGCTGCTGCATTTCCACCATGCGGTACTCTTAACTAGCAAACATTCACTTGGGTTCGATTCTTAGTGTGCTGCCCAAATCTGGTTAATATGTGGCTTAATATACTGCACAAATACAAAAAAATGAGATGCACTAAAAAGGGAAAGCTTGTTGTGTGTAGAAAGTACCGTATTTTTTGGTTTTTAAGAGGCAATTTAAAAAAAAGGTTTTGCACGCTGCATACCTCCCAAAAAGTCCATTTTCTGCAAAAACTGACCCATTTTTTTTCCCCCAAAATGGGCATGAATAACTTTTAGGAGGCTTGTAGAGTGTTCCTGGTGGGATGGGGGCCCTCAAAACGAGCAAAAAAAACCAATTTTTCACAAAAATGGGTCCGTTTTTGTAAAAAAAAAAAGGGGGGGCATTAGGAAGCTTATAGAGTTCTCCTGGGAGTTGGGGGTGGCAAAATTGAACAAAAAACGGCCCATTTTTTGCTCATTTCTGCCATCCCCAGCTCCCAAGAGTACTCTGGAAGCCTCCTAAAGGCTATGCATGGCCATTTTGGTGAAGGGGGCAGGGTTTCAGGTGCCAAAAAAATATATGCTGTATTCAGTGTATAAGACGCACCCAGTTTTTCATCCTCTTTTTTGAGGGAAAAGGTTGCGTCTTATACTCTGAAAAATACAATAAGTGTGGACAAACCAAGCAACTTAAGACAAGGCAAACAAGATAAACATCCCTTCATTTGGTAATTGCCACTTAACAAATTTGGCTGGCCAAATTATTATAAGCGGTTTGTGTTCTTTTTTAAATTTAATCAGTTTTCTGACAATTTTTTTAGGGTGGCTTGGAGGATGTGAGCTCATCAGAGAACAGGTGGGCAACTGGTGACATCCCAGATATGGAACTCTCATCAACCTCTAAGAATATAGTAAACAGAATGAAAGATTGCATCAGAGATATTTGGAAAGTATTTTTATTACACTAATGGGTCCATTGTGGGAAGACAAGGAAGGCAAGGTTGGGGAACGATTGCCCTGAATAAATTCCATCGATGTGGTTGCCAAGAGTTGATAAACAAATTTTAAGGCATGCAATGAATGAATGAATGAATGAATGAATGAGCTTATATTTAGTTGTGGTGCAAGATCTATTGGGCAGACCTGAAAGCCATTTTATTTAGAGCTGTTCAGAGGTACCCAAGAGAATTAAGCAAAAGGTGGCCCAGAGATGCTTTTGGTGAAGGTACATGTTCAGGTGGAAGAAATGCAGGTGGAACAACCATTTGTCTGAAGTGGTATAGGGCTTCCTGCCTAAGCAGAGGGTTGGACGTGAAGACCTCCAAGGTCCCTTCCAACTCTGTAGTTATATTCTATTGTATTCTGCTTCTATTCTATTCTATTCTGCTCTGCTCTGCTTCTACTCTATTCTACTCTGCTTCGATTCTATTCCATTCTATTCTATTCTAGGTATAAAGAAAGGAATGGCAGAAAATAAATAAAAACTACTTACCATCTCTTCACCTCCATTGTCGCTATTCGTGCCCTAAAAGGGTAACAAAAAGTGTGTATATGTATATATGTATGTATGTATGTATATATATATATATATATATATATATATATATATATATATATATATATAT